TTATTATTATTATTATTATTATTATTATTATTATTATTATTATTATTATTGCTACTATTTGGCTTTTTTCCTGCTATTTTTATTTGGAATTGCAATTGGTTACTTCACAATTGGATTAAGGTCTAGAAGAACCTGAAGATTTTGAATTGCTCGAAATGAGTAGGAAACTAACAGCCCCTGGTTCCTCAACCTCTACTTCTTCCTCTCCACCATCTGGAGGACAACATTCAATACAGACAATGTTACGGCAAGAAAAAGAACAAGAAAAAGTGACCCTGCAGATGATTATGCAAGGAATTCAAAATATTCAAACAAGAACAGAGAATATTGAAAAGAGAACAGAGAACATCGAACAAAGAACAGGGAAAACTGATGAAAAGGTGGAGAACATTCAACAAATGATGATGAAGTATGATGAGAGATTCCAAAAAATTGAAGAAGAAGATAAACAAAGAGACAAGAAGATTGGAGATGTTGATAACAGATTAACTGTGGTTGAACAAGATAAAAGTGGGATGTTGAGATGGAAGACGGACATATCAGAATTTTATATTAGATTCCAAAACATAGAGGAAGAAAAGGGACAAAACCTAGCTGAGATAATGATAGAAATATTGGCTGAAGTTTTGGAAATAACTGAAGAGAAGATGATGGATGGAATAGATGAGGTTTATCGAGTCTTCACAAGATATGCAATGAGAAATAGCTTACCAAGAGAAGTTCACATTAGATTTACAAAGAAAGCCATTAAAACGCAAATATTGCAAGTGGCAAAAGAGAAAACATTGAAATATAAAGACAAGGAGATTGTGGTCTTGAAACAAGTACCCAGAAGAGTGAGAGAGATGAGAATACCGATTCCTGACCAAAATGCTACATCAATGGAGGTTTTTAAGATGAGATTGGACAGCCATTTGTCTGGAATGGTACAGGATAACCTGCTTGAGCAGAGTGTTGGCCTAGACAGAAGACCTCCAAAACCCCTTCCAATTTTGTTATTGTAAGGACCTGCCTCGGCTCCCTTCTCAGGAAAGCATGACTCTTGAAAGGAGTTCCAAAGGAGTTTTTACTGAGAGAGGGGATTGCAGAGAAGTCAGGCGGAGTCTGAAAATTCCCACACAAAGCATTAAGCTAATTTCCTCTGTTCAACCCCCACCCGGAGCCCCATGTCCACCAGTAGCCAATGGGATGCTGCCAAGGTGTTATGAGAGCTCCAAGGCGATAACAGGTAATCCTCGGAGCGCTGTGGCCTTGGGTAACAGGCTGGGACCAGCTAGGAAGGAATCTATCCTGATCAGTGGTGGGATTCAAATTTTTTTACTACCGGTTCTGTGGGCGTGGCTTGGTGGGTGTGGCTTGGTGGGCGTGGCAGGGGAAGGATACTACAAAATCCCCCTTCCCTCCCCACCCCACTAGCCTGCTTTCCAGCTCCGTTCTCCTGTGAAAGGCAACCTAAGAAGACCCAGCCGATCAGCTGGGACTCAATGGGAGGCAGAGAAGAGATGGGGTTGGCGGGGCCAGTCAGAGGTGGGATTTGCCGATTCTCCAAACTACTCAAAATTTCCGCTACCGGTTCTCCAGAACTGGTCAGAACCGGCTGAATCCCACCTCTGATCCTGATGGCCCAGTCCCCCTCCCCAATTCCCATGCGGTTACAGCAAAAGCCAAAGCAGTCAAAGCCATCAGCCCCCAAAAGCATCCCCCTTGCCCTTCGGAATGGCAGCGTTCTGGCAGGAACCTGACAGTTATTCTGTATTCTGTAGTCCTCACTTAATGACTGATCATTTAACAATTGTTCAAACACCCCTCCACCCCCCCATTTCTTTTTCTTTTTAAAAAAGAAATGCCCATTCTGGAGAATGGATTTGCTTAAGAACCATTTCTTTTGCTTAATGACTTTGGTGATTTGCTTTAAATCATGTGGTGACCTCTTAATAACCACAACAACTTACAATGGAAATTTTGGTCTCAACTGTGGTCATTAAGTGAGGACCATCTGCAAAGCTGTCATATAGAACGCAGGACAACATTGTGGTAGGCTTACTTTACAAGAAGGTAGGATCTGTTGTAGGTGAGGAAATATTTCCTAGCAATGAGATCCATTCAGCAATGGGTGAGGCTGCCTCTCTGCAAATGGTGGCATCTGACTGGCTGAAGGGGACAGATAGCACCTGCCAGGAGTGGAGAAGTGGCTGGGCAAGATTTCAGGCCGTTGCTTTTTGTAAAATCTTTAGTCTCAGGAACTCCAGTCCTACTGAACTCCCAGAATCACTATCCAAGTTTTGCCTCTATGTCACATTTATTCGACCCCATGGGCAACCAGCATGCAGGGCCACAATGGGCTGCTTTAGTTTTGACCGAACAGGTTTCATGAGCCCAGGTTTTATAAATCAGAGCTCAAGGCTTAGTGCCCTGTAAAAGCCCCGTTAACTGAGCATTATTCAGATTATAACTTAGTTTGATGCATGAACTCCAGATCTTCCTGTGTGCACTTTTAACTCCCAGGAACTTTGGGGGAAGTAAATGAGAGTTTGGTTGTCAGGCTTGCCCAGGGGGACTGTGCTCTTCAACCTTTTTTTTAAATAAAAGATGTACATGAGGGGTGTACAAAGGTGTAATAGAACATCCCAGATGACACAAAACTTGGGGGGTGGGAGTGTTGCTAACCCCTCAGATTAGGCTAGAAAACGATATAAAAGCTGATACAGTTCTACAGAGGAATTATTGAGTCTGTCATCTGCACCTCTGTAACTGTCTGGTTTGGTTCTGCAACCCAAGACAGACACAGACTGCAGAGAATAATTAGGACTGCAGAAAAATCAATTGCTACCAACCTGCCTTCCATCGGGGACCTGTATACTGCACGAGTGAAAAAGAGGGCTGTGAAAATATCTGCAGAACCCTCACATCCCAGACATAAACTGTTTTAACTCCTTCCCTCAAAACGACGCTATAGAGCCCTGCACACCAGAACAACTGAACACAAGGACAGTGTCCCTCCCCCCCGAAAGCCATCACTCTGCTAAACAAATAATTCCCTCAACACTGTCCAACTATTTACAAAGTCTGCACTACTATTACTATTCATCTTCTCCTCACTCCTTATCACCCATCCCCTCCCACTTGTGACTGAATGACTGTAACTTTGTCACTTATATCCTTACGATTTATATGCACTGTTTCCTGGTATGATTTGATTGCTTATTGCACCCTATGACTATCATTAAGTGTTGCACCTGATGATTCTCGACTCTTGACGAATGTATCTTTTCTTTTATGTGCACTGAGAGCATTTGCACCAAGACAAATTCTTTGTGTCTCCAATGCACTTGGCCAATAAAAAATTCTATATTGCTATTTATTGTTACTTAATAAAGTGGGATTCAAAAAAGAAAATTTGTTCTCGGGAGGGAAACCCCCCCCCCCCCCCAGAAGCCTCGGTACAAGGCGGGCTTGGGGGGCGGGCAGGGGCCGCCTGGGTGCTGCTGCCGCTACTAAAAGAGCCAGGCAATCCTGGCAGAAGCGTCGCGGTGGTTGTTGGCTTAACGGACCGGCCACCTCCGCCTGCGGCCGCCCGGCGCTCCTCGGATCTCCGCCACAGGGCAGCGGGAGGGAGGGAAGGAGGGTCGGCCGGCCGCGGCTGCCGCCAAGGCCCCATGGAGGCCTCCCTCGCCAAGCGAGCGCCCGCAGAGACGCAGAGTGGGAGGACCCACCGCCAGGGGCGCCCGCCGGCCCGCCCGCCCCAGTCCCCCCTCGCGTCCGACGCGGCTGCCCCCGCGGTCCGGCAGAGGGCAGCGCCGATTCCGCGGCTCTCTCCGACGCCGCCCCTTCCTCGAGGCGCCTCCCCGCCCGCCGGTGCCCCCCCCCTCCGCCTCCTCGCCCAGCCAGCCGGCCTCGCCCGCCCGCTACGCGAGCCCGGGGATCGGAGCGGCGCGCCAGGCCCCAGGTAGGCAGGAGGGCGGCGCCGGGGGGGCTTCGGGCGAGCCAGGCCGCTGCGGGGCCGAGCGAGGGGGCGCCGCGCTCCGTCTGCCGGGTCCACCTCGCCCGGGAAGCGCGCAGGCCCTTCCCGCCCGGCGGTCAGCGCCCTCGGCCTGCGGGGCTTCCGGCCCCCGCCCCCGCCGCTCCTCTCGGTCGCCCGCTGGGCTTCCCCGGATCAGCCGGGAGCGCCGGGCGGCCCAGCGACGCTGCGGCAGAGGAAGCGCGGCCCGGGGACAGCCGGGGGGCCTCGCAGCCTGCCCGGCGGAGGCCGGCTCGCCCGGTCGGGCCCTTCGCGGTGTAGCGTTAAGGCCGCCGCTGCGCCCCCCCCCCCCCCCCCCCCCCGCTCCGAGGGCAGAGCCGGCGGAGGAAGGCCGGCCCCGAAGGCCGGTGCGGCTCCTGTGCTCCCCTTCCCCGCCTTCGGAGGAGCGGAAAGAGGCGAGGATCCGGGCCGGGTTTGTGCCGCCGCCCCCCAGAGCACCCCCGGGTGGAACAAGCGCCGGGCTGGGCTGGCTGCACGCCTGATGCGTGGCGACCTTTGGCGTTTGTTCCATCCTCGGCAGGACTTGCCCGGGGGACCCTCCGACTCTGCCGCTGCAGCCGGGCTGCCTGAGTGGAGAGAGGCGTCAGGACGAGGGGAGGGCAGCCCTTCTGCTCTGGGGGGAGCTGGGCAGATGCCCTGGGACCCGTCTCCAATTCTGCCCCCCTCCTCAAAGCAGAAAGGGCACCTGGGGACTGAGGCTGGGGGGTCCCCCGAGAGCAGCCAAAGGGTCCCTTTACTGTGGAGCCTAAAGAGGAACCATGAGGGGATCTGGGCCATGGGGACATTCTTAGGCAACCTGTCACTTCCTTTGAAAGAAATGGGATTGATCCCAAGGCTCCTCTAAAGAGTTTTCTTCGGTTTCCATCCGCCGTCCTTGCAGTGAGTATTTTTCTGAATGTAACAGACTGGTCTTTCCAGGCTGCTGATCACAGATCCTAAGTTCGGATCTTCCTAACTTTAAAAAAAAAAAGAGGATCTCCTCTTAGTAACAGGCACCGGGATTTCTGCTGCTCACATGGCTTCTTGGTTTCAGAATTGAGTGAACTCCAGGTCGCCGTGAAGCAAGCAAGATATTTCAATTCAGGGCCTGTTGGGGGGGAGGGGGGAAATCTTGAAATACGGCCTGTTTAGGGTTAACGCTCTCTTCCTGATTCTGATCCCCAGTTTTCAATGCTGCGTTTTCGGGTAAAGGAACCTTCTTTTGGAGAGCTCCCACACCCGGATCCCAACCTGAAACCCACTTCTGTTGGAAAAGGCAGCTGCCGGTGATTCTTACTAGCCTACTCTCTTCCTTTGCAGGTTCCCACAGAGATTTTCTGGAAGAAGGGGCTGGGACCACAAGGTGACCGCTGGAATGTCTGGCCTGCTTTGGTCTGATGTGTCTCAAAGGTAGCTGGACCCTCCTACGAGGATTCGCACGACCCCTCTAGCGATCGCTCTCTAGGAATAGGTTTCCTTGATTGCTCGGCCTTCAGTTGAGCAGCAAAACCGCTCACTGTGGAACCCCCTCTTTTTCTCCCCAGCATGTCAGAGACCTGGTCCCAGCAGCCGCCACCCCCCCAGCAGCCCCCGCACCACGGGGCCACGGCCGCCCTTCCAGAGCACCCCATCCCGCCCAGTGCGGTGACCGAGAACCCTTTGGGCTGTGCCGTCTATGGTATCCTCCTGCAGCCGGAGCCCAGCGGGTTGCAGCACCCACCCATCCCTGCCAGCGGTGGAGGAGAGGCCTCTCCCAAATGTGGGGTTTGTGGGCACGACCTGTCTCACCTCTCCAACCCCCAGGAGCACCAGTGCCTACAAGGCGGCCACGACCGCTCCTTCCAGTGCACTCAGTGCATGAAGGTTTTTCACCAGGCCACGGACCTCCTGGAGCACCAGTGCCTGCAGGTGGAGCAGAAGCCCTTTGTCTGCGGTGTCTGCAAGATGGGCTTCTCCCTGCTCACCTCGCTGGCCCAGCACCACAGTGTCCATAATGGCAACACGGCCGTCAAGTGCTCCATCTGTGAAAAGACCTACAAGGCGGCCGCGGCGGCAGTGGCAGCTCCCGAGGAGCCGGCCCCCCCACAGCAGCCAGCGGCCCTCAACCGGGCCCCCGCGGAGAAGCCGTACAGCTGCTCCATCTGCCAGAAGCCCTTCAAGCACCTCTCGGAGCTGTCGCGGCACGAGCGGGTGCACACCGGGGAGAAGCCCTACAAGTGCAGCCTGTGCGAGAAGAGCTTCAGCCAGTCCTCGCACCTGGTGCACCACAAGCGCACACACAGCGCCGAGCGGCCCTACAAGTGCACCGTGTGCGAGAAGGCCTTCAAGCACCGCTCCCACTTGGTGCGCCACATGTATGCTCACTCGGGCGAGGCCCACCTCTTCCGCTGCAACGTCTGCGAGTTGCACTTCAAAGAGTCCTCGGAGCTGCTGCAGCACCCCTGCACGCCCAGTGGCGAGCGGCCCTTCCGCTGTGCGGCTTGCCACAAGGCCTTCCGGCGGCCCTCGGACCTCCGGCAGCACGAGCGCACCCACAGCACGGAGCGCCCCTTTCAGTGCGACCTCTGCCCGATGAGCTTCAAGCAGCAGTATGCGCTCATGCGCCACCGCCGCACTCACAAGGCCGTGGTCCCCGCCCCTCCTTCCGAGCAGGAGGCCGCCCCGCTGCCCTTCAAGTGCTCCCTGTGTGAGAAGGGCTTTGTGCAGCCAGCGCACCTGCTCTACCACCAGCACGTCCACGGCATCGAGAATCTCTTCAAGTGCAACGCCTGCCAGAAGGGCTTCAGCCAGTCCTCCGAGCTGCTGCGCCACCGCTGCGTGCAGAGCGCGGAGCGGCCCTTCAAGTGCACGGCCTGCAGCAAGGCCTACAAGCGGGCTTCCGCCTTGCAGAAGCACCAGCTGGCTTCGCACTGTGCCGAGAAGCCCCTCCGCTGCACCCTGTGCGAACGGCGCTTCTTCTCCTCCTCGGAGTTTGTGCAGCACCGCTGCGACCCTGCCCGCGAGAGGCCGCTGAAGTGCCCGGACTGCCAGAAGCGCTTCAAGTACGCCTCCGACCTGCAGCGCCACCGGCGTGTCCACACGGGGGAAAAGCCGTACAAGTGCCCCTCCTGTGAGAAGGCCTTCAAGCAGCGGGAGCACCTGAACAAGCACCACGGGGTCCACACCCGGGAGCAGCACTACAAGTGCATGTGGTGTGGCGAGCGCTTCCTGGACCTGGGCCTGCTGCAGGAGCACAGCGCGCAGCACACCTCCACGGAAGGCACTTACACGGTGGCCCCCTGCCTGCCCTGAGCGGTGCCAAGCACAGCCCTCGTGCCCCAGCCCTTCGATGGGCAAACACGGGCAGAGTAAACGAAGCTTCGGGGGCCGCACAAGGCCAAGGCTATGGAAAGACTGGCTCTTGCAGCCTCGCCCTGCCACTGCGGTGCCCCTGTGTTTACGAAGCCAAGGGCTGACTCTGGAGTGAACGAGGGAGCAGGACGCTGGGAGCGGCTGAGGATTAGGGAGGGCCGAGAAGGAGGGAGGGAGGGAGGCATGCATGCCAGGCTGGAAGGCCTCCTCTCACTCACTGCCGTGGTTTCTCCATGCAGCAGATGCTCCAGCCAGCAACCCTTATATGGTTGTTTTGGCTTCAGTCGCCTACAACCATTGGGACTGGATTTCCTCCACTCCAGCCCTTGGAAATGCAGCCGGAAGGGCATGGAGGAAAACTCAATTTATCTATTTTAACGTATTATTAAAGCTAGAGCATCCCCCCCCCCCCGCCAGCCTCCTCCTCCTACACCCTCCCCCCCTCCGTTGTGGTATAAATAGATAGGCTTCTTCTCTGTGTAACCTCTGAGAAATGTAAACATTCAAGACATGCAACTGAAGAGAGCTTGGACAGAAAACATTCATTAAAACTGCACTGACCTGTCCTAGGATTGTATCTTTTGGAACCCAAAAGCCCAAGTGCGAAAAGGCTGCACTTGCCAGTCATATAAACCAGATTTGAGACCGTTGAGCCTTTTCTGCACATGCCTTCGTCAGGGACCAGCGTGTGTGTGTGTGTGTGTGTGTGTGCGTGCAGCAGGGGTGTCTATGCATATACAGATGTATGAGGTACATAGAACCACTTACTGCATTAAATTAGAACGGGTCCCCAAACTTGGCAACTTTTAAGACTCCAGCTGGCTGGAGAATTCTGGGAGTTGAAGTCAACAAATCTTAAAAGTTGCCAAGTTTGAGGACCCCTGAATTAGAAGATGGCTACAAGCCGGCAGTGGGGTCAGTAAAAAAAAACAAGTGATGCTGTCCTTTTTGGGGGGCCAGGGTGGGGTGGGGGGAGGGAAGAGGGGGCTTTCTATCCCAGGTCCCTTCGGAGGCGGCATCGTATTTGGAGGAGGAGCAGAGTATAACCCGTTTGGGGTAGAGCTTCTGTTTTCTCCTTGTTGAGTCCTGGGCCTTTTCACGGCCTCCCAGCAGCAGCGCAGAGGCAGCTTTTAGAGAGGGAATTTCCCTTTTTGGGATGGCCTTTAAAAAAAAAAAAAAGTGATTAACGCAACCCTGTAGCTCAGCTGGATGTGAGTTTTACAGCCTTGCAAAAGCTGCAGTGGAATCTCTGGGAATTGGAACCCATCAGTTGGTCTTTCTTTGGGAGGGGGGTGGGGGGGTGAAAGGCTTTGCCCAGAGAGCCGGCTAGGCAGGATATTGTGAGATGGAAGCAGGCCTCTCCCTTTCCGGAGAGCCGAGAAGGCCCTCCTCCCTCGGGAGGCTTTTGTGGGCTTCCTTTCTGCAGGCTCCATTGTTTCAGTCCCCTCCTCCCCCCCCTCCTCTGCCTATTTGCCACCTCTCCTGCCCGAGCCCCTTTTTGTCTGTGCTGCACCCCCCCTTCTTGCTTGGGCCTTTTCCTGAGCTGAATTCTGAATATTCCTGGGGACACCCGGACCTCCCACGCTGATTTGGCCAAGGAGAGTTCCTGGCCCCTTGTTCTTGGCTGCCTTTGCCCCCCCTGGACCGGAGAGGCTGCTCCTGTCTGGGATCAAGCAGGGCTGGTCTTGGAAGGGAAATGGCCTCCTTGCCTGCGGGCCCTGCAGGCAGAACCCTCCCTTTAGGGCCATTTTGGGGGGAGGGAGCTATATTTTCACTCAGAGCGGCGTTCAGAAAGCAACGGGCAGCCTGGGTGATTCAGCTACAGAGAGAGCTTGAAATCCTAAGCAGGAAGGCCCAGAGATGCCTCTGCCTTTGGAGCTGGAGTCCCTGAGGAGATTCCAAAGGCAAGCACGGAACCCAACCCAACCCTTGCACAAAGCGCTATCTGTTCATATTCTCCCCCACCCTCCCTCCGTGTGTGTGTATATGTGTGTGTGTATATGTGTGTGTATATACATGTGTGTGTCTCTGTGTGTATACACACACACACACACACACGATTGGTCACTGCACACAGAGGTCCGAAGCAAGGATTGAAGCAGAGGAACAACCAGGGGCTTGTAATGAAGTGTTGCACCTGAGGCAGGGGTGGGATTCTACCAGTTCACACCTATTCACTAGAACTGGTTATTAACATTCTAAGCAATTCGGAGAACCGGTTGTTCGAAGAAATTACTGGGCTAATCCTGTAAGGAAGGCAGGAAGGAAACATTCTGGTGTTGCTTACAGAAACTGCCTCTCCGTTAACCCTTATTACATTCTTGGCAGGACTAGATTTCCTGTCTAAGGAACCTCTCTGGAGTTTTTTCCCCCTCCTTTGCTGGTACTTTGCTTGTGTGGAGTGACCGTTCAAAGTTACAATGGCACTGAAAAAAGTGACTTATGACCATTTTTCACACTTACAACTGTTGCAGCACCCCACAGTCATGAGAGGCCAGGCGAGGAGATCCGTGCCTCGATGTGAGTGATGTTGAGTTGGCCACGCCCAGCCAGTCACATGACCACCTAAGCCACGCCCACCACCTAAGCCATGCCCACAGAACTGGTTGTTAAAAAAATTGAATCCCACCCCTGACCGTGAACCACACAAAATCTAATGAAAATTACCCCAAAATTACATGTTACAGAATGACGGTTTTGCTGGGAAACAATCCATGGCCTTCCACTCGACCAGAGTTTAAGGCTGACTCTCTTGTCATGTGTCTAGCACATGGGTTTTCATGGTCAGCCATTATAATGCCCTTGGCTCGGCCTTCCACCTGGAGCCCAGAGGCAGGTTCTCCGCTGCCGTTTTCCCCTCCAGTGCAAAATCCCAACAATATTTAGGGAGGAGAAAGGGCGACATTCCTGCCGTTTTGGGAGAATAGTTTCTATCCTGTGCTTTGCCAGGGTCGAGGGTTGCTGGGAGGGACATTTTCCTTTTGAGAGCACAGGAATCACTAAGAAAAAGAGATTTCTCAGTTCATCTTATTGTAAAAATGGAGGTAAATGATTCCATAAAAATGAATTTAGTTGGCTTGCTTAGATTTATTTTGAGTGGATGATGAACAAAATTAAAATCAACTAAAAGCAGCTCCAGCCAAGAATATAAAAATTAAAATACGTAGCAGCTGAGGAAGGTGTCAAACACTGCCAGAAGGCAGGCTCCTTCATACAACTGGACTCCCATGTCCAGATGAGGTTCTTGGTGCTTTGCTTGTCTATTGTTAAAATATTTCTTGCTGGGTTCTAGGCAAAATTTGGAAGGGAAATACTCTTGTATACTGTATCCTAGGCAGATTTCCCAATAATAATATTCAAAAATTGAATATTTTTAAACAAATATGCTCTTTTTGCCAAGAGCTCAGAACTCTGTTCATTCTATTTATCTGTTGCAACATCCTTTAGGTTAGGTCAGGCATGAGAAAATGAATTTGCCCAACAATGTATGTATAAGCTAGGTTCTTGTGCAGGCTCCTGTGGACAAGTTCAGTTAAGCACCAGAATGGGGAATAGGATGGGCAAAATGCCAGCACTTTTGAAAGCAGTCAGCATGTCAAGAACAGCACACATTTAATAACACCGTTGTTGCAGGACGAGGCTTCTGGATTTTAATTCTGCTGATCCCTAAAGAGTTCAGGCAGCACATCTGTTTCTCTCCCCCCCCCCAACCTTTTCCCGTTTTTACAGTTTGGTGTGTGTGTGTAAGAATGTGTCCCAAGTGGGAGGGGGCTGGTCCCAAACTGATGCCAAGACCAACATTTGGGTGTTTGCAGAAGGCACATGTATCCTTAATGCAGGTCTAGAGACATAGTGTTGCTGCAGTACCTGAAACAGTGTTTGTTCCATCTAGGTCAAGAGCCTTCAAACATGGGCAAGTTTAAGACTTGTGGACTTCAACTCCCAGAATTCTTGAGCTAACATGACTGGAGGAGGGATTCTGGGAGTTGAAGTCCACAAGTCTTAAAGTTGGCAAGTTTGGGGACCCCTGATCTAGATCAACATGAGCAATATGTCTCTAGCAATACAATTCCAAGGTTGGATTATGCAGAGCAGCCTCTGGTGGATATTTGTGCAATTCAGGGCAAACGAGGAATCGGGCATCAAAAACCTGGTAGACCCCAGAGTTACCTTAGGTCAGGGGTCGCCAACCTTTTGGACCTCAGGGACCACCAAACTCATAATTTTAAATCCCGGGGACCACTAATATGAATTTTGACTGATGGTGGCTTGCTGACGTTGGAGAGAGGGAGGAGAGAGAGAAAGAGATCACACAGAGGCAGGGGTGAGATTCAAATTTCTTAACAACCGGTTCTTGGGTATGGCCTAATTTGTGGGTGTGTTTGATGGTCATGTGACTGACTAGGCATGCCTTGTATGTAAATAATATAAATATTTATTTTAATATTGAATTTTTCATTAAAAAAAGAGTAACTTTTACCCAAAATCAGGCAAAGTAGGCAGGCAGATTGAGTTGCTCACAGAATCACAGATTCATTCAGAGATCGGTCTATCTGCTATCAGCTACCTGAGTCTGCACTGAATAATAGAAAGTTCGGTCCTAAGGAAGGTTTGGCTCTGCTTAAAAGCAGAGCCAAAAATCTAAAGATTAACTAGAAAGCACCATCAGTCAAATCCAATGATTTCCTGCTTCCTAGCTAATCTAAATCTCTCGGCACAGCTGATGGTCAGAACAGCTGATGGTCGGGGAAAAAAAAGGAAAAATAGCAACTTAGCAGGCAAGTTTGCCAGGTAAGGAGTGAGTGGGTGGGGAGGGTTCCTGCGGGCCATGTGGACAGTGCAGCCTTGTGTTCTTGCACAGCCTGGATTAATTGCTTTGCGAGGTGCTCTGGGGTGACATTTCTCACGAACCACCAGTGGGCCACGGCCCATTGGTTGGCGGCCACTGCCTTAGATGATACACACACTTTAAAACAATTTGAAATACAAAGTCAGTGCCTGAAATGCTACTCTTCTGCAGGAAGCCATCTAACCACCATTGGCGACTCTTCTCAGTCTCTGCCTTGCCCCGGGGCTGTGTATTCCAGGAGTGAGAATGAGCCAGTGGGGCACCAACATTATTGAACATCAGCTGCTGAATCCTCCTGGGTGGTTGGAAGCCCAGATCAACCCAAAGACTTTTGAATGGGAGCAGCGCTGCGGGTGGACAGTCGAGATGACACCACCAGCTTTCCTACAATGGACACATCCAGGGGTGGGCCAATTTCTGCCAGAATTCTAACAAGACACCTCGGAGAAATCAGTCAGGCTGTGTGGGGGCACCGAGATAAAAGGCTCAAGTGCAGAGGGAGGGGAGATCACTGGCAGGGTCACTTTCAGGTTGTTGGTTAAAACTGTCACAGGGAGCTTCGAGAGCAGTTGGTGTTGGCACAGCCGGGAGCAGAAAGGGCTGTTTCTTTGGATAAAACCTTGTTTAGGGCAGGGGTCGCCAACCTTGTGAACCTCAGGGACCACCAATTTTAAATCCCCTTGACCACTAATATGAATTTTGACTGGCAGGTGGCTTGCTGACGTTGGTGGGAAAGTCGGTCCCCTATTCCAGAGCTGCCGGAGTCACAGGACTGGCCCTTTGGTCAGCCCGGAGCAGCTGCTCCAGTCCATGGCAGGCCGGTGCACCCAGGCGGAGAAGCAGCTGCTCCGGGATGACCAAAGGGCCAGTGCTGTGACTCCTGCAGCTCTGGAATAGGGGACCAACTTTCCCACCAACGTCAGCAAGCCACCCCGGGGCAGATTTCCCTCCCCTGCCATTGGTCTTACCTTCCAGTTCCAGCTCGCGTGGCTCTACTCAAGGTAAGGTTTGCGCTTGGCCGAAGAGTGGGGGTGAGTGGGTGGGCGGGCCATGTGGGCAGTGCAGCCTTGTGTTCCCGCACAACCTGGATTAATTGCTTTGGGAGGGGGGGACATTTCTCTGCGGACCATTTTTCTCATGGACTACCAGTGCTTGCCCTGGGATGAGGATACCTGACCATCTGGCAAGGACGTGGATACATGGCGTCCCCTCCCCCGAGATGGGGTTCTCTCCTTCAGTTGGCACAAGCCACGCCAAACAGGAGGGGGAATCCTTTTGGTCAGCCAAGGCTTTGGTGGCATTGCCCCAGTCTTGAAATGTAGGGCCTTTCCTTTTGGGCTGGGGGAAAGAGTCTGGCTCCCCCTCCCTTCATGCCGTCCCTTCTCACATCTTTTAGGACTATGGGGAGGGGAACGGAGGGAGAGTCCTCCCTTCTTCCCACAGGGCAAGAAAAGTAACAAGGAGAGTGGTGGGTGGGGGAAACGGTCTTGGTGCGAAGGAATGTCTGCCTGACCTTGGGACAGGAAGGAAGGAAGGAAGGAAGAAACTCAAAATAATCCCACCTTGAGTTTTCTGATTATAAGGTGGGGCTGGGAGAAACTTGAGCAGGCTTTCCCGCCGTGTTTCTTGATCTTGCCCACTTCCAAAAGTTGACCCTTCTGGGATCATGGTGGGATTCAACTGGTTCGTTAACTTTCTGAGCATTTTGGTAAACTGGTTGTTGGAAGAAATCATTTGGGCAGAGAACCAGCTGTTAAATGATGTGAATCCCCCCACTGCAGAAGCCCTGGTGTGCTTCCGTCAGCCAGGGTCTCTTTCCATTGGCTCCAGGGGCTGGAAAGCAGCACCTTCCAAAGCAAAACTCACCTGTCCCAGATTGACTCAAGGTTCACCCCTTCTGAGCACAGGTAGTTCTTGACTAACGGCCCAATTGGGAGCAGAATTTCTGTTGCCAAGCAAGGTGACTAAGTTGCACCCAACTCAACCTTTTTCGCTAGCATGGCTAAATGACTCATTGCAGTTGTTAAGTGGATCATGTGGTTATTAAGTGAATCCAGCTTCCGCCATTGACTTGGCTGGTCCAAAGCCAGCTGGGAAGGTCACAGATACCGATCACGTAACCATCGTCATCAATACAAGCTAGTTGCCAAGTGCCTGGATTTCGATCACATGACCAAGGAGATGCGGTGATAGTTATAAGTGACCAGCCATGAGCAGCTATTTTAAGTGCTGCCGTTACCTTGGAACGGTCACTAAACTAATGCTTGTAAGTCAAGGACCACCTGAAAACTGTGGAGGGCCTTGCATGGATGCAGCCACTGGATTCACCATTTTCACCGGGTCTGCATCTGCTGGGCAAGTTCCCATTCCTGGGTCACTCTGGAGAGCCGTCTTTGGGCCTTGGATGGACGGGCACACACACACACACACACACACACACAAAACCTTTAGCACGGGAGTCTCCAACCTTGGCCACTTTAAGACTTGTGGACTTCAACTCCCAGAGTTCCTCAGCCAGCCTTTTTTTCAACTTCTCAATCACCTTTGCTGGCTGAGGAACTCTGGGAGTTGAAGTCCACAAGTCTTAAAGTGGCCAAGATTGGAGACCCCTGCTTTAGCACACAAAGCTGGCTTGGCTTTGTGGCAGAAATGCCTCCATGAGGTACCCCACCCCCTCAATTTTCCACATGGTTGAAAGAAAGATGCCGGCCTTTATAGGTTGGTCAAATCCTAGTTTGTTTCTGGAGGCGCTTTGATGCTGGGGCTGCTTCTTCACGTCACACCGGGGGGGGGGGGGGGGGGGGGCCTGGAGAAATGACCCGGAGGCCTTTCCTCTTTGTCTGCATCCTTGAAACTTTAAAGCACAAAGCCGAAAACATGATTTGCTGCCTGGGAGATGCCTTCCTCGGCCACTTCTTGTTGTGGTTACTGGCAGCAGGTGCGGACAGCTGAGGACTCAGATGAGGGCCCAGGACCATCAGGGAGTGGACTGCTGCCTTCAAAGATTGTGGGGGCTGGCAGCAGCGATGAGGAGGTTCCCAAGGAGCCTGTGCCAAGGGCATGCGCACGCAGGGCTGCTCGCAGAAAAGAGCAGCTGCAGCAGCACGGGCGACTTGGGAGCGGTTGCAAGGTAATGGCCCCTCCCTCAAGAGGATAAAAGCCAGCTGTAAATCAGATGTTCTTTGCAGGAAGCAAAAACGTTTTGAAACTCCAGCCTCGTGGACATTGCAGTATCTTAAGTTGGTATTTGAAGACTCTTGTGTTGTGAAATATTTCTTAGCTGTGATTCTTGGCAGCCTCGCACAATTTTGGCAAGGCTTGTGTTTATCAAAATCAATTAGTTTGCAACAGCCTTTTAACCGGGGATTCGTAAGAATCAGTAAAAGGTTTCTGTTCCCTTTGGTTCATGTTTGTTTTCTTGGAAAAGGGTTTGGGTCAGAACACGTCTCCTCTTGAGGCAACTAATAGCTTTTTTTATTGTTTGTGGGTGTTCAAACGCTGCACCAGGAGGCATCCTGAGCCTCAGGCCTCTTCAGGGACCGGCTCCTTAGTGCCAGGGCTCAAGGTAGTGAGAGCGGCTGAAAGGAAGAAGGACACATGTTTGCTCAGGTCTGCTAGGGCTCCTTCAGGATCCCTCCCCATGGATCCCTCCTGTCATGCCCATGTTGGAGTCTGACTCTGAGGGGGAGATTGAGCAACTGACAGGGAGTGGGAGTGTGGCTGTGGAAGAAACGGGGGAAGGGCTCAGTCCAACTGAGCATTCAGAGGAAGACCCAGGGCCACCCCCTCTTCATCCTAGGGCACGCAGGGAGGAACGGAGAAGGGAGTAACGTGGCTTACGGGAGAGGAAAAGGCCCTGATCCCTTTCATTAGTTGCAGCTGGGAGAACAGGATATAAGTGGGGCATTTTAAATAGCTCTTTGCTGGAAGCAAAGTGTGCTTTAACTTGGTCGAGGCTTATCTGGGTTTTGGTGTCTTCCCAACTGTGGTTGCTGGGTTATCTTGTGAAAGTCTGCAATTTATCATCCTGGCCTGCCGTGTTAATGACTCCAGTGTTGGCAGCCTGCAAAGTTGGTTTTTTTTTATTTCTAATTATTTTTACTTTTGGTTTGGACTGCATTTACTCTCTTCATAGTCTGTTATTTTAGAAGAGTTTGATATCAAGTCGAGGATAATTGGACATTGGGGCCCAAGTTGGAGGCATTAAAAGGAATTTATTCTACTTTTGTGACTGTGTTATTTTTGTGTCACACCCCGAGTCATCACACACCCTCATTGGCTGCTCTGGGATCACTGCAGAAGAGATTTGCCCCAGAGAGAAATGACCGGGAAGCAGCAGCTTCTCCGTGTCTGACATTCTCCCGGGCAGGCAGCCTGCTGGGGATGGCAGAGTCATTGGAACGGCCCTGGAGGGTGAGATTTCTCCACAGCAGCCCAGACTGCAAGCCTGACATTTCAGAAGTTGTGGCTGCTCCATCCCTAGAGGTTTTTAAGAAGAGACTAGACAGTCCCTTGTCTGGAATGGGATGGGGTCACCTTCTTGAGCAGGGGGCTGGACTAGAAGACCTCCAAGGTCCCTTCCAGCTCTGAATATTCTATTCAGTCCTGCTTGGTTCAGGTCACCCAAGGCCGGCTGGACCTTCTACTCTAGCATCTTCAAAAGAGCCTTTTGCAAAATGGGTACCTCCTCCCACAGACCATGATCCTATTGCGTTTGGCATTGCAAATAGTTTTGCCCGCAGCTAACAGAATTCTTGCAACTGGCCAGCCACCTCCCTCCTCTAAGAGCCCATATTCCACCTGGGGCTGTGGAGAGAGCAGAGTTCTCCACCCCCATTCCCGGCACCACTTTTGGTCCCCAAAGAATCAGGTACCTGAAGGCTGTTCCAAAACTCCTGTAGGTGTTCCTGTAGGCAAAGAGCAGAACATCGCAGTGAGTTGCTGGAAAGTCGTGGGAGGAGCGATTAGCCCCAGGCAAGGGGCAGTGCAGAGTACTTACACGGTGTTGTAAGGAAGAGGCTTTGGTCCGTATCGATCCAGGCTGGGATTCTGATTGAGGCAATACTAGCATGGAAAAAAAGGAAGGTGCCTTATGTTAAAACCCAGGACGTCCATGCTTCTCGCCTTCCGCCTTCCTGTGAAGCCCCCACCTTTTCTTGCTGTCAGGCAGGGTACCCGGCCCCCCCTACACTTGCTCTCCACCTGCCGCAGAGGGAGGGGGGCAGGGGAGGGCTCTCCCGCGTGCAGGAGTCTTGCAAGGCAGCTCAGCAGGCAGGTTTGGCCATCAGCCTTCAGGTCAGGACTTCGGATGCTCCCTTGTCAAATAAGAGGGGGCCTTTTCGGCGGTGAGACCCCTGGGTTTCTCCGAGATTCTGGACACACTGAAGCATCTGAACTTTGCCACAGACTCCGAAGGGATTAAAGTTTAATTATTAAGCCATCATTGCTGTGGTTTCGGTTTCACTTAGGACATGGTGCAAACTGTGCTGAGAACCCAGAATCCAATTGTTCTTGAGCAGGTGTGTTTGTACTTTTTTCATTTTAAAAAACCCTTTTGTTTTTCTCCAAAATCTGCAGAATTACCAGAACTGTTTTTCTGCCCCCAAATTTTAGTAGGTATATTTTAATAGCTGCATTAAGTTATGTTTAGTGAGTCGGTGTTTTGAGCAGGGACTTCTCATTTACAGAGTTTTTTTTTTAAATGTGTGAAGCATTGTACTTTTCTGCCACAAATTAATAGTATAGTCTCAGTCTCTTCTGATAGAGAGTAACTTGAAAAATATAAACTTAATTAAAAAATTAAAATGTCCCATCAAAACATCAGGATCTAAATGTGGGAGTCATATCCATATGGCGGTCTTGGCAATTCTAACAGAGCCCTTTCCTGGCCAACAGAACAAAGCGAGACGAGAGGAAACAATTGCATTGCTATCACCACCGTTCTTAAGGAGTTGAGGATCCAATCGTTGGGTTGAAAACCAAAACTCCTTTTTCCAGAGTTCCCCCAAACCACTTTGTGATAACGCCTTAATTGCAATCAAGTTGGATTCTCCGGGCAGAGGTGCCCTTTGCCCTTTAAAAATGTCTTTTGAGCCCCCCCCCCCATAATATTGCCCCCCTAGGAGAACCTCTTGCTTACCCTCCAGGTTTGAGTGACGTCTGGTTTCAAGTATCTGACGGCATAACAGCTGAAGCCAAGAACTGAGAAAGACAAGAAGAGGACAGGAGAGGAGAGGAAAAAGGAAGGAAAGGAAAAAGATCAACACAGGAGAATATTTGTATATATTTGAAATGAGGCTCCCTGGTACGCTCGGAGCTTGGTTGTTTCCTTGCAGACGTTTCATTAGGCGAACTAGGTAACATCCTCAGTGCCAGTGGTGGGCAGCGTTGGCACTCCTGGCTCAGGCAAGTAGCCAGAAAGGTCCCCTTGATGGGGAACCTGGGCTGAGCCCAGCTACGCTCTCCTCTGGCTCAGAAGGGCAGGGGCCTCTCTCTGCCAGGCGCCCATCCTTCAAGAGTTCGGCCTGGCTCTGGCAGCAGGGTTGGGGCTGCCGGCGAGGCTGTCTGGAGTCCCCTTTGTGCCCACCAACGCCGGTCCTGCTGAGAAGAGCTGGGGGGGGTGGGAATTCAGCAGGTTCTTCCCAGTTCTGGAGAACCGGTAGCGGACATTTTGCATAGTTTGGAGAACTGGCCAATCCCACCTCTGACTGGCCCCGCCAACCCCATCTCTTCTCTGCCTCCCATTGAGTCCCAGCTGATTGGCTGGCTCTTCTTTGGTTGCCCTGCATAGGAGAACGGAGCTGGAAAGCAGGTTAGTGGGGGGGGGAGGGAAAGGGGATTTTGCAGTATATCCTTCCCCTGCCACGCCCACCAGGCCACGCCCACCGACCGCTCGTAAAAGTGTTTGAATCCCACCAGCGGGCAGGAGGGAAGCCGAGCTGGGCATCCAGGGGGGCGCTTCCATCTGCCCCCAAAGGAGGCGCCCCCCCCGTTCCCCCCCCCTTGAGTCCCCCGAGGGGACCTTCCGCCAGGTCCTCGCCGCTCCTGCTCGGGCAACAGCGGCGGACTTGGCGCCCTGGAGCCCCCGCGGACTGGCCGCAGCACCGCCGAGCGCGCCCCCCGGGCGCTCGGCAGGTCCCCGGAGCGAAGGGCTTCCCGCCGCCCGCCTACCTTTGCCCTGGAGGTTGAGCAGCGGCATCTCGCCGGCGTCGGAGACGAAGCGGGACCAGTCCTGCATGGCGCGCGTGTAGCTGGGCCACTCCTCCTGGCTGGTGCTGGGCGGCAGCGGCGCCAGCTTCCCCGCGCGGGACCGGCCGGCCAGCGAGCGGCGCACCAGCTCCGACATGCCCTGCAAGGAAGCGGGGCGGCTGCAGCGGCGCTCGCGGGGGGCTTCCCCGGCAGGCTCCTCGGGAGACCCGAAGCGACCCCGAGCGGCCTTGCCCCGGGACCTCTCCCGCCAGCTGGCGTCGGATCCCCCGCTGAACGGCCGGCCGGCCGGGACCTGCTTCTCCCCCGCCCCGCGCAGCTCCGCGGAGGCCCCGACCCGTGACTCACCTTGGAGGGGAGGGGGCTGCTGGGCACTCCGCCCACGGTGAAGGTCGCCCTTCGGAAATCCTCTGCGGAAGAGACGGGCAGGGAGGGGGGGGGGGGGGGGGGGGGGGGGGCTGGCTCCCTACAGCAGGGCTGCCCAACCTTGGCAAGTTTAAACCTGGCGGACTTCAACTCCCAGAATTCCCCAGGCAGCTTTGCTTTCTGGGAGTTGAAGAAAGCAGCCAAGGTTGGAGACCCCTGCCCTCCAGATCCCCGGCTGTGTCCCAGAAGGGGCCCTTTTAGGCCTGGAAGATTTAGAGAAACCCTCCCCCCCCCAAAAAAAAAAACCACAGAGGACGGGCGCACAAACTAAACTTTTAAGATTTGCCCCTCCCCCCTTTTAAGAAGGTCCCTCAAAACATTTGGGACAGGGGTCTCCAAGCATGGCCCCTTTAAGCCTGGAGGACTTCAACTCCCAGCAAAGCTGGCTGGGGAATTCTGGGAGTTGAAGTCCGCCAGGCTTAAAGCGGGCCAAGGTTGGAGACCCCTGATTTGGGAGACCCGGTCTAGTTGGGGTGCTGGGGCAAAAGCCCAACTTCTGCCTGGGGTCTTGGAATGCAGGCCGCCATTGCTAGCGTTGGGACGGCATTGCAAGGAAGGCTGCAATGCATCCCTGCCCTGGTTCTGCTCCCAGATACCTTTGGAGCAGGTGGTGCTGGTCCTGCAGTGCTGGTCAGTGAGCCTGTTGACCACGGTGTCCATGTCCATGCGCCTCAGCGTTGGCAGGCACGGGTGGTAGAGCTGCTCCTTCACTCCAGCTAACAGGCTCTTCTTGGGCTCCAGCGGAATGAGGACTGCGGGGGCTGCATAGACGGGGCTGGCATCTGGCGGCCAGGGGATCAAGTCCAGAGCTTGGGCCATTGCTGCAAATCCGCCCAGCCCAAAAGAGAGGAGAGGAGAGGAGAGAGAGTTACATTTCCGACATCCGTCAGGCCATTCCTTCTCCACTGGACTGCCACATCACTTAGGAAGATCCTGTTCTGACCCAAACCTTGGTCCAAGGAAACAGACACGAAACAGAGGTAACAGCAAAACCTTTTAATGATTCTTGACGAATTCCGTTCCTTCCCGGTTAAAAGGCCGTTTCAAACTAATTGTCTCTGATAAGAATGAACCTTGCCAAGGTTGTGCAAGGCTGCCAAGAACTCCAGATAAAGTTACTAAAAATATTTCAAACTCAAAGACTCCAAACACCAACCAAGATATTCCAAACATCCACAAGGCTTGAGTGCAAAAATGTCTTTGCTTCCTGCAAAGAACTCCGATTTCTCAGGTTGGCTTTTATCTCTTAAGGGAGGGGCCATTACCTTGCAGCCTTACTCCCGAGTCGCCCATGCTGCTGCAGCTGCTCTTTCCTTCGAGAAGCCCTGCACGCACACACACTAGGCACAGGATCCTTGGGGAACTCTTCCTCACTGCTGCCAGCCTCCACCATCTCCGAAGGCAGCGCTCCACTCCCTGATGGTCCTGGCCCCATCCCTGCACCACACGCAGGCCCCTCGTCTGAGTCCTCGCTCTCCGAGACCTCAGCCATCCACACCTGCTGCCGGCGAACCACAACAGATCCAATGTTAAATGTCCAAGAAAAAAATATCCTTGTTGAAGCAGCCCCATTCTGTGGAATAGGGGTGTCAAAACTCGATTTCATTGAGGGCTGCATCAGGGTTGTATTTGGCCTTGGGGGGACCAGGGCCACAGTGGACATGGCCAGCTCGATATCACTTGCAGTGGCACCTGTGGTGCCCTGGGTGCCCTGCTGGCGAAAATGAGCCCCCAAGCTCTGTTTTCGGTTGCAACGGCCTCCTGCAACTTTCTCCCAGTGAAAACGGAGTTCGGGAGGGTCGGCAACCCCGGCCAGTCCTTCCCCATTTCCAGGGCGGCCCTGCAGGCCAGATCTAAGCATCCCGTGAGCTGGATCCAGCCCGCAGGCCTGCAGTTTGACCACCTCTGCTCTGGTTCCGGCCCAGTGGCCCACTCCCCTTCCTCAGCTTCCCTGACAGAGCTGGGAATGTTTTTCCTCCAGGGAGGGGCAGGGTGCCAGTCCTCACTACCAGGCTTGCACCCCCTGCAACTTTAGCGATTGACAGGCTGTGGAAGACTGTTTCCTGCTGTGATCCTGCTGAGCTCAGGCCTTTCCCTCCTTACCTCAGTGCAATAACGCTGGGAGGAAGAAGAGGAGGAGTGTGCTGCTGCACTGGGGAAAAGGTTACAAGGAGTAGTAATTTTTTATTTGCACCCTGGGGAAGTTTTCTGCACATTTATCAAGTGATAATCAAGGTTGCCTGTACCATTTAGCTGGTCCAGGACCTGGGAATAGTTGGTGTGGGTTGGGAATATGCAGTAGACACTACTCTGCTTTTAGTTAATGCATCCCGTCCTAATTAGTTTAAGCTGCTGTCAATTCTAATATCCATCAATTGATCTTGAAGTTGCATGGGAGGATCCACGTTCTCCCAACGTCTCAGAAGAGGACCTTCTGCCTGTGAAGGGAGGCGGATAGCTGAGGACGCAGTGCCTTCCACTCCTGCAGCACGTGACACGGCCAGGACCATTGCGTGACTCGGGAGACAGGGCGCCCGCTGAGCAAACTTCCAGGCTCCAGCCACCAAGACATGCTGGAACTGCCATGGCTGTTGGCTTTGTTAGCTGAGAACTGCTCTCATGTCTGGAGAGCATCAGGTGAAAAAGCTACTAGTGGTCAAGGCTCCTTCAAAGATCATGCTAAGCCATGATTTAAGGTAGCCACGTAAACCAAAACAAGAGCCTCCGCTTCTCTTTCCCCTGCCTTCTGCTGTGCACCAGAGATCATAAATAAGCCATAAACTAGAACAGAAAATAGAATTAAAATGACTGTGGCAAAAGAAAGCAAAGGCAGTAGCAATAGTGATAGGTGCCTTGACTGCAATCCTAAAACAACTGGAGTCGGCATTGACAAATTCGCCACCAATCAATTGCAAAAGGCAGCTTTACTCGGAATGGCTTACATCCTGTGGCAATATCTGTAACCTCCACATCTGCCTATCCCAGGTCCTTGACAAATACAATAAGCTAAGGGCTGAGTCTATGATAGATAATAGATAATAATGCTGTAATGTTAAGAGAATTGCTTTCAATATATTGTTACTATTATTAGACATTTAGAATGGTCCCTTCTCTTCCCTGGTCTTCTTTTTGCCATTGGCAGGGAAGCTGCTTACCCAAATCTTTTGACAGTCACTGCACAGCGTAAAGGAGGGCAGGAAGGACCAGGCAGGCTGGACAGTTAGGAAGATGCAGAGAGGGGTGCTACGGAGGGCCCGAGGACTTGGGTTGGCGATGCCAAGCAAGATCCTCTCCAGGTGTGGGCTCAACTTGTGGGAAAGAAGGAGAGTCCTGAGGTGTCCCTCAAGCTCTCACATGCTGGGAGCCAGGTCTACCTTCTGGGCTCTGCCCCCTCACTCTCCATGGCAACCTCAGGGAGACAGGAATTGTTGGTCAAGAGGGCCAGGTCGCTAGGCAACCCTGACCAGGTCACCTCAGGCCCCTGAGCCCCCCCTCCCCAGTGCTCACAGGAGGCGCTGAGCTGAGCCCCCTCACCCCTGCAGCATTCAAATGTCACTGTTGAGGTAATTCCCTGTTAGGAGAATGAGCGCATACAGGGAGATGTATTTGAGAGAAGTGTTTGAATAATACACACACAGCACACAGATACACTGTACAGTAAATGTAGGTTTTTACTTCCAGAAAGGTTTAAGCAAAGTTCAATATAAGCAGTCCAAAAGTCATTCACAGGTAAGTTCAGTCAGTTTTCAATCCAGGGATAATCCAGTAACAAAGTCCAGTGTCAAAAACAGTTCAGTATCAGACTTACATCAAATCCATGAATATCAGTCAATTAGAAGGAATGGCAATATTCTCCAACAGAAGGAAACAGAGATACACTCACACTCTCTTCTGAGACTAAGGCTAAACAACCCGGGTTTCTGGCTCCATCTTATGGCCGTTTGAGAAACCACACCTAATTACAGTTTTGCATTTTCTTAAAGATAACAGTTTTAAAATGTTTATCCTGGTTTATATATTTCTAACCCAAATACCTGTTAGGTGACTTATATTCCTAACAGTCACGTTCAGATGTTTTCCAAAGTTTCCAAATTAAAAGCAACTATAAGGGGAAAAAAGAAATTGAAGATATGGAAATAAGGAACATGAAGAAGTGAGCAAAACAGTTGGGATGCGGGCCACAACCACACTATCAAAATCCTCTTTTAAGGCTGTGGCCAAAATTTGACTCCCCCCCCCACCCCAATAGAAAGAAGAAGGCAAATAAATTAGAGCTGAGGGATCCTTGTTTTCTTGCAGACATTTCATTACCCAAACTAGGTTAACCTCATCAGCCACTAGCAATAATGATGTTACCTAGTTTGAGTAATGAAACATCTGCAAGAAAACAGCAAAGCTCAGAGAGCACCAAGGGCCTCTTATTCCAAGCTACAAATATTCTCCTTTTATTGGTGAATTAGAGCTGCTTATTTGAAAATCCTCTTGTCACTTTTGAGTATCTCTCTGCACAAGCTGCCCTTAAAGCCTCATATGTTGATTAATTCCAGACTCTGAATGGTGATGAAAGAAGTTTTTCCCAAAAGCAGCAACTCCAGAGAGAGAGAAGGTGGGTTTCAAACTCGTCTACCTTCTCATAACTCTGACCAGTTCATTCCTTTAATGAAGTATGACCACCATTCTTCCTTTTGAAGTTCAGGAAACCTAATTTCTTTTTAGCCAAAGGCATTTCTTTTTTTTTTAAATAAAAACTAGCCTTTTCAGCAATTACGCAATAGGTAGCATCTTCTGAAAGGCCTGGCATATACGTGCAAAATATAAACTCAACTGGGAAGGTGTAACATAACTCATAAATTTGTCACTTGTGGAATGTTATCTAGCGTCAATATTTTCTGTTGTTTAATTCTCAGGTTTAATTAATATATCGTATTATTTGATTTGTTGCTTTTTAATGCATCACATATATCAAATGTATATTTTGTTTCTGTACCCTGTACAAAAGTTGTATATGTTATATATTATACCCTATATATGATTTATTCCCATACTCCATAAATATTCCTAACTTTGCCTTCATTTCTTGGTGGTTTGTATTTCCAGGTGAGCAAAAAAAAACATCTTTGCAAAAGTGAATGTGGTATTTCTCTGAAATTCTGGGAATACCGTTGGCTCCTTCAGTTCCGTGCCGTGGATATTCCAATGTTATCTAGGCAATTAAACGGATGCCATGTACTTTTCAGAAAGATAAGCTGATTGGCTCAGCAATATCAACCAGTTCCAGAGATCCATCACAAACATGGACCTTCAGAGGAGCAGTTTCATACCTTATTTGGAATAGATTACATTAGGTTAGCAGAGTTGGAAGGGACCTTGTAGGTCGTCTAGTAGTCCAACGCCCCCCTGCCCAAAGAGGAGACCCTACACCATTTCTGACAAATGGCAGTCCAGTCTCTTCTTGAAAGCTTCCAGTGATGAAGCTCCCACAACTTCCAAAGGCAACTTCTGTTCCATGGGTTGATTGTTCTTACTGTCAGAAAATTTCTCCTTATTTCCAGGTTGAATCTCTCCTGGATCAGTTTCCATCCATTATTCCTTCTCTGGCCTTTGGGCGCTTTGGAAAACAGGTTGACCCCTTTCTCCTTTCTGTGGCAGCCCCTCAAATATTGGAAGACCGCTATCATGGCTCCCCTGACTAGCCAAGCCCAGTTCCTGCAACCGTTCGTTGTATGTTTTAGCCTCCAGTCCCCTAATCCTCTTGGTTGCTCTTCTCTGTACTTTTTCTAGAGTAGTGGTTCCCAAAGTGGGCGGTACCACCCCCTGGG